TTTCTGCAGGTACATCTTGTAGCGCTTGGCAACGCGGTCGTCGGATGCGTCTTCGACTTGAAACATGTCGAAGCGCGCGGAAATGTCGTCGAGGGCGGCGACGACCATTTCGAGTCCGCCCGCCAAGTCGCCGTGCTGCAGCTTGTGCTCTGCGTGTTTCAGGTAGGCCCGCATGTCCTCCAGAATCTCCGCTTTCGCCCGCACGTGCTCGTCGTTGAACGTCGCCGCCGACCAAGTGGTGTTAGTAGTAGAGGGGAGGGGGGGAAGATGCTCCATGGAATGAAAATTTGCGGTATGGACCGGAGCCTCACCATCATCGTCGTCGGAGCCGTCGGTGTCGTTGTCGGCCGCTGGCGCAGGTGGGATGCTGGCTGGTGCTTCCTTGTTGTGCCGGTTCGCCTTTGTTCCTCGCGCTCCTTTTTCTTTTTTTGCGTTTTCCTTTTTAGCAGATGCAGACGCCGCGGGTTGTGCAATTTCCGTAGCTGTAACGCTGGCGGGTTGTTGCTGTAACAGGGACAGAAGCGCAGCGACCTGGTCCGGAGTCAACGCGTTGGTCAACGCCGGAGTCGTCGCGTCAGAAGAAGTCGATGTTCGGCGCCTCTGGCGCTGACGCGACGGTTCAGCCACAGGCGCCGGCGTGTGCTCCGCGTCAGGCGCGTGTGGCGCCCCAGGTGCTGCAGGTGCCGCCGTCGCCACTTGCGCCACACGCGCCTCGGGCGCCACAGGCGCCACAGGGGCCGAGGGGTGCTGCTGCTGGGGCGGGCTCGAGTTTTTGTTGACCTCGAGCCCGCCCAACAGCACGTCCACGGCAGTTGGGGCGGGCGATCCTTCCTCTGCCCGCCGCTTGTTACGGCGATCGCCCGTCATTTCTCGGGCGTTACGGTCGGAGTCGGAAACCGGCGCAGACGAATTGACGCGGTTAAGTGCCGGCGTAGACGCCATTGTAGATCGATTGTGGTTGAAAATGTCTTGCAGAAGTGTTGAGGGTGACTCGCCTCTGGGAAGGGTGCGAGTTCTAGCCAGCTTGGACGGGGAAAAGAACTACTCGAACGGAAATGTTGATTGAGCCGTTGGAAAACGAGAAACGTGGGTGGAGGGAATGAACTCCAACCCACGGTTTTTGTAGTTGGAGAAGGGCGTTTAGCGCGCTTCGACGCTGCCAAATATTCGGTACAGTCAGCTTCGCTTTCACAATACACAATTTTGAAAAACATCAATGTGTTTAAAAATTATAATAATACAACATTCTCGTCCAACTATGGATCATACAAATATTGGTACAACTAGGGCGGGTGGGTGGGGAGTGAAACTGCAAAGTTCTGAAATGAAGTCGTGGGTGGAGGCCGAATGGCCTCCAACTCTCGTTATGTACTCGGCGAATTGTAATTCGCCGTTGCTTTGCTTCATTACAGGCAGCTGCGCTTTCACAATACACATTTTTAGAAAGTGTTACACACTTTCGAAAAAATTCATATTGAGAAAGCTTGCTTTCTGTTCTTGCAAAAGCAACTGGCTTCATTACAATTGGGTCTTCTGAGACATGTGCAGCTGGAGCGTTGAAAACGTGGTGAGTGTAGTTGCGGTTGATGACATTGACGAAATGCCGGGAGGGGCGGCGCTGGTGAGTCGTGGGCTCCATGTCGATGGCGTCCGAGGTGCTGTGCGCGAAGGTTGCTCGTGCTGTTGATGTGGATGTCCCTGGTTGTTGGTGCACCAGGATAGTGGTTGAAACTGGTGGTTCCCGTACTCTACACGCCCAATGTACGGTACAACTTTTATCTTGGGATTTAGCTTCCATGTGCTCTGCTTTACCCTACACTTCCAGTCGTTTGATGTTCCGGCCGGAATAACTAAAACGTGGGTGGATGTAAGGGTTTGAAGTGGTACTCGGGTGAGTGTGGTATTCGTCATGTTGGTTGGGTAGGAACGGTCACACAATTGCTGCCTTTTACTCCCAAACGCCCATTCAGGTGACAGCATGCAAGTCGTTTCAACGTGTGCTTTTGCTTCCTTGTCGGGTGTTATCGAACAAAGTGGGATGAGAATGATGGCGAAAACCGATCCCATTGTCATTGCCCTTATTTGGAAGAACACGGAATGTGGTTTAAAAGTGTGTGAACACCAACTGGAGTCAAGTCAAGATTTTAAAACCAACTTGAGGTGCACTTGAACAGTTGCTTCCCGAGATTTCAGTGGGGCTCCAACCAGCCTTTATTGGTCACATTAAAAAGTAAATGGGGTACATCAAAAACCAAGGATGATCCAGTCATACAAGCGAGCACATTGTTCGAAATTTTTGCCCATTTTACGGTAAGGCCAACGTGTGGACCTTCGAGTCTCTTCCCCCCTGGGGGACGGCTCTCAGGCCACGCTAGGACCCTCGGTCCCCTTCCCTCCCCTGGGGGACGGCTCTCAGGCCACACGGGGACCCTCGGTCCCCTTCCCCCCCTGGGGGACGGCTCTCAGGCCACACGGGGCCCTCGGTCCCCTTGCCCCACTGGGGGACGGCTCTCAGGCCACACGGGGACCCTCGGTCCCCTTCCCCCCCTGGGGGACGGCTCTCAGGCCACACGGGGACCCTCGGTCCTCTTCCCCCCTTGGGGGACGGCTCTCAGGCCACACGGGGACCCTCGGTCTCCTTCCCCCCCTGGGGGACGGCTCTCAGGCCACACGGGGACCCTCGGTCCCCTTCCTCCCCTGGGGGACGGCTCTCAGGCCACACGAAGACCCTCGGTCCCTTCTTTTTATTGGGAGACGTCCTTGGGTGCGCGTTGAGTTGATCCTGTCGTAAATGTAGTTCTCCCGCGCGACCAGTAGAGTCTTTAAAAGTGTTTTTCCGCACCCGTGATGTTGAGCCTATTTTTCTGCCACCAAGTAACAATAGGAGCATAGAGATTAATGTAAAATAATCGAAGAGATCATAACAGAAGAAAAACTTAAACTTAAAAGACTTGCAGCACGTAGGCAACAAATGACGCCCAGTCGAACGACTTTAGGCGCTGCAGTAGCAATTTCGTAACTGCCGCTCCAGCGGCCATTTCGTCCCTCGAGCGCTGGTGGCGATTTTGCCACTTGCGCGCGCGCATGTGGCGATTTCGTCCCTGGCGCGCGGCAATTGCGCCAGTGACGATTTCGTCCCTGGCGCGCGCCACTGGCGCCAGTGTCGATTTCGTCCCTGGTGCGCGCCATTGGCGCCAGTGGCGATTTCGTCCCAATCGTGCGCCACTGGCGCCATTGGCAATTTTGTCCCTAGCGCGCGCCACTGGCGATTTCGTCTCTGGCGCGCCTGTTGGCGTTTTGTCCGACGCACTTAGATCTCAGTTGAGCGCCCGCTAGCTACAGTCGCACTCGTGATAGTTTGCCCTTCATGGAAAATCAAGCGCCTGGGTTGAACGTGCAAGTGAGTATTAGCTTAGAAGGTAGTTTCTAGCGACAAGGAAACGGTCGAGGTGGTTGGACGAGAATTGGAGTGAAACTGCAAAGTTCTGAAATCAAGTCGTGGGTGGAGGCCGAATGGCCTCCAACTCTCGTTATGTACTCGGCGAATTGTAATTCGCCGTTGCTTTGCTTCGTTACAGGCAGCTGCGCTTTCACAATACACATTTTTAGAAAGTGTTACACACTTTCGAAAAAATTCATAATATCTCACGGTCATCGTCCTTGTGGGGATGAGCAGGTTGGACGAGGTATCTCAAGAGAGATAGGTTATGAGATATAGTCAAGTGAATCAAGCGAAATCTTTAGCGAGACGTTACATATCGGGGACATTTTTCCGTGTCCTTAGGGCGCGTGAGGTCTTTGAAATTTGTAAAAGTTTATGTTTTTAGGGCGAATTTTAGCTTCGAACTTACAACGAAAGAAGTTCGAATTTCCTTCTATCGAAGTTCGAACATCGGGCTTACCACACTGTAAAAAATCACACACACATACAAGGTCGAACCCCGACATTCGAACTTGTAAAAACGAGCCAAGGTTCGCTCGTCTTGACGGTGCGCCACGTCAACATTTTGCGCCTCGGTTTACAAGGACCTAGAGCTCCAACTCACCTTCCGCGCCGAGTGTGTAACCAGGGTACAAATAGCCCCCGTGGCAACACCTTGTATGCTGGACACGTGGCTACAACTGTGTGCACGAATTGTGGGGTGTCTTCGTTGTGCAACTTCATGCACTGGCGAAGCGCTCGCCCGTTTTGCCAGCTGTTCGGACGTGCTCCAAATCACACACGCTCGCATGAACGTGAGCACGCACGTTCGCGCCTCCGGCTCGAGTCAAGTTCATATTTCAAACTCGAACTTTTGCAGAGCCCATACAATGCTTGGTTCGCGAAGCACCCTTCGCGAAATTAGCGAATATGGTAACCACCCAAAGTTCGAACTTTATTTTGAACTTCTAAACAGACCACACGCGCCCTTATGCCTGTTCCCAGGTTAGCCAACAAAAAGAAACAAGGGCGCATCACCTCGGGGCTGGAAGGCGCAAATCCGAACATACGTAACGAATTGACAGTACGAACAGTTTCCCGACGAGATCCGAACACAAATTTGAACACCCTGGTAAATGTGACAGCTCGTGACGGAATATCTCAGCGGAAACGGAGGCATGCCATCCTAGGGAGGCATCAACCCTAAATCCATGCCTCCCCGTGTTTAGGGTTGATGCCTCCCTGACCGGATGCATGCCCTTCTGGGGTTTATTTTTTTTGCCCGCGGGCAGCGAGCTCCCCTGGGCGGACTCGCTTGTCGGCTGAGATATATTCTTCGAGAGGTGACAGCCTGTTCGAACATGCGACGTCGCCAAGTGATGGACGACTTCGCGTAACGTCGCAAGAAAAAAAAAATAGTCGTCTGCCATTCCAGTTTGACTCATTTTTCGCCCATTTAGTCTTTTTTTTTTTTTTGATATCAGAATACATTACAAGAATGTATAGACATCGGCAGTCGTAACTGTAGGGTTGAGGGGAGCGCTACAAAAGCTAGTAATGCAGATCCCCTCTAAGGCAGCTACGGTGGCTGATGTGTCAGCCTGGGGTTGTCCCACACAGAGTTGAAGCCGATCCTCCACGCCAGCGGTGGGTCACTGCTGCAAATACGCCGCATCACCACTGCCTCGTTGTCTGCCAGGTACGCCAAGTCACTGTCCAAGGCATGTCCCTTCAACCGCGCTGATTCTCTGCGCGCCGCGCAGTATATCCTCGCATGTGCGACAAACTTTACCACCGCCTGCCGAGTCACCTTCCCAGGTTGGAAGGCTTCATTCCTCCACATCGCGTTGCATCTTGCCAACCATACTTGATGCAGGAATGTTGCAATCCATGTCCCTTCTAGAAAGCCCGACCTTGTGCTTCTTTGCATGAAGAGCAGATCCTCCAGATCCTGCCACACTAGGCCCGGGCGCATTATTTCCAGTCCATGCCTCATCACATCCGCCACCCCCTGCACCGCCAGGCAGTCAAGGAGGCAGTGATCTGGGGTTTCCTCTCCCTGGCAGTGTGGGCAGACCACCCCCATGAAAAACAGCCTCGAGCCCACTTGCAGGTTCCTACAGTGGAGCCGTATGAGGATTTCACGTGCCCGCCGTGGGGTGACCAGGGAGTCCCTCTGTTCGATTACTCTGTCCCACTCGATCACCCTCCTCTGTCCTTCCCATCTCCTTTGTTCTTCTTGTGGTCCGGCCGAGTCTGCCAGCACCTTCCTTATCCCTTTCAGCGTGATCAGCTCCCCTCGTTCGCATGCCGCTGAGAGCAAAAGCTTCGTCCGCACGTCCCCCATGGGGCCCAGGAACACACTCCCTTCCGTGAACATCGGCACCCCGCTACGCAGGTTGAAATACATCTTGAGGTTTCCCTCGTAGGGTGAGAAGTGCCCTCTGTCCCCTATATCGCATAGTATCCCCTCCACCGTGTCGCCTCTTGCTTCGCCCACTTTCCAGTAGGTAAAACCACCAGTTGCGCCGTTGCTCGACCGTAGAAGCTTCACCGTAGCCACGATCTCCTCGCTTGTCAATTTTGCAAGTACCATCTCCTTCCAGGTTGCTGGTGCTGCGTTGAAAGCCCTCAACGCCCACTTCGCCTTCTCCCTGCAGCCGAGCTCCCTTGCCAGTGTTGCCAGCTTCTTGAGCTCACATGTTCCGTCTCGCGCTTTAACAATCAGGTCTCCCATGCGGATGCCGAGTAACGCCTCTGCACCTTTCTGGTTCCCGAAGGGGCTCGCGCCTCTGAAGGGGATATTCGGGTTGAACGCCAGATGTTCCTGTTCCACCTCCCAGCGGTTTGTTGGAGCCCGTGGTTTGCATAGCGGAGAGACCCAGAATTTTCCAATTAACTCCTTCCACCGCTCGCTCCCTTTCTCCCAGTGATCCAGCAGCGACCTGTGTGCGAAGATTGTGTCCAGCTCCAGGGGCATCTCCGCCGCTTTCTCCGCCAGCCACTTCTTGACCGAGTTTGGTTTCAGCACCAGCTTGCAGACACAGCGGATGGCGATGCTGTCGACCCGTTTTTTCGGGACATATCAACCCCAATCCCCCGTCTTTCCGCGGCGTGCAGACCAGCCGATAATTCCAGAGGATGAATTGCTTCTCTTCCACCGCTTCCCCTTTCGAGATGAAGGTGTGGCACAACTTGCGGATCTTCTTCCATATGGCCTCTGGTGGCAAGTAAACTTGTGCCTAGAAGAGAAAGATCGGCACAATGTAGCTGATGAGTATCGTGACCCTTGCTGACGTTGTCGGATGCTGCATTTCCCACTTCGCTAACTCCCCTTTCGCCCTGTCCAACGCTTTCTTCCAGGATGGAGTCGGGTCACCGTTCGGCGTAATCCAAATCCCCAGAAGACCCTCCGGTTCATCCTTGTCCGCCCATTTGTAATTCAGGTTTTGCGGCGCTGTCTTTCCCCGGTTCTTCCCCAGCGGGAAGATTATCGTTTTCCCCTCGTTTACCTTCAGCCCCGACTCTTCTCCGAAGGCTGACAGCACCCCTGCTACTGCCTCCAGCTGCTCCACACCGTGTAGCAAGAGAGAGGTATCGTCAGCATACCCCAGGTACGCCAGTTTCCCCACGCCTTTCTTCCCGATCCCCAGCTTTGCTCTGCTGATCTCCTGACATAACGGTTCTACCGCGTAGAGAAAAAGGTACGGCGCCAGCGGACAGCCTTGGCGCACGCCCTTTTCCACTGCCACCTTGTCCCCTGTCCATCCGTTGATGTGCAGACATGTACCCGCTTCTTTGTGTAAACCTATCGTCCATCCCACGAAATCCTCCGGCAAACCCAGCTTCCGTAGTGCTCCGAATAGGTAATCACGCGATATTGAGTCGAAGGCCTTCTGAAAATCGATCATCATCAGGTACCAGTCCTCCTTCCCGTTAGCACCTGCTTCAATGGCGTCTGCTACCACCGACACCGCGTCTGCCAGCTGCCGACCAGGTATGAAGCCATATTGGTCCTCCGAGATGACCTCGTGTAGTACTGCCTTGAGTCTGCTCGCCATCACCTTTGCGATAATCTTGTACACTGTGCTTAGAAGCGTTATCGGCCGATAATTCCTTAACTCGCTTTTTTCGCCCTTCTTATGCAACAGGATGGTCACCGCTGTGGAGACACTGTGCGGCAGCTCATCTCCTTCCGTGAACCTCCTCACCAGATCCATCAGTATCGGCCCCAGCAAGTCCCAGTTATGTTCGAAAAGCTCCTTAGGCAAGCCGTCTGCTCCTGGCGATTTTCTCGGAGCGAGTTCCTTCACCGCCTTCCGTACATCGGCCTCCGACCATGGTTCACTTAGCGCCAATCTGCTCTTGTCTCCCAGTGTCCGTTGCACGGGGTGGGCCGTCCTGCCAGGCACTTTTCCTCCGCCTGTGCAACTGAAGGCTTCGCGGAAATGATCCGTAGCCGCCATGAGAACATCCTTCACCCCCGTAGAGATGATCCCGTTCCTTGATACCTCTCGGATTACCGTCTTCGCCTTTCGAGTTTTGATTTGCGCCGACAGTGCACCTGACGCCACCTCCCCGTCCATTTCAGCCTCTATGCCTGCCCATGTTTGCAGTTGCTCCTTGCGATTTTTCTCGTATGCATCCAACAGTTCCTCTTTCCGGAGTAGGATACGTCCCGTCCTTTGGCAGTGTGGAAAGCGCGATACCCGCTCCCTGAGCCGTTCAGCCTCCTTAGTGAGATGAAGCCTCGTCGCCTTCTCCCGCTTCCTCTCCTCCCTTGAGTACGCTTTCAGGCACGCGGTCAGCCTTTCCAGCAGTCTCTCGACTGATCCGCCCGCCGACTCCTCAATGATCATTTTTATTATCTTCCCGACTCCACTTTTTTTTGCCTGCTCCGCCCGTAATCTCCAGATGCCTGGCCCGTTCTTCACGGCTTCAGCGGATTCCAGCACCACGCTTATTCCGTTCCTGTGATCTGTCATAGCGTTTGTAATCGCCACATGTCTCGCCTCTGCCAACTTGCACTACAGCGGCTGCGAAATCAGCGCCCTGTCTATCGTTGAGCTGGATCGTGTTGCCTTTGGGAAGAAAGTATATTCCCTTTTGTCCGGGTGCATGTGTCTGAAAGCGTCCCTCAGGTCCGTATTTCCCCAGCAGCTCAGGAGCCGTTGATTTTCCGCAGAGGAGCCGGCATGTGAGGTGCGATCCAAGTCCGGGTCTTCAACCACATTAAGGTCCCCCATCACCAGTATGTTCTGGAGTGCCGGCAGGGACCCCAAGAAAGGCACCAGGTTGTCCCTGTAGAAACTGGACCTGTTAACTGCTTGCGCTGGGATGTATGCTGCTATCAGCAGGAGCTCCAACTTGCCCCACTGGACTACTACCGCCAGGAGCCTGCCAGATACATGCGCGTGGGTGCTTGTGAAGATCATTCCAGGTACAAAACTGACGATAGCAACACCCCCCGCCGACTCGTCAGGGCTCTGTCCACATACTGCAACCGCACTTGGAGTTATGTCCGTCCAGAGGTTGTGATCTGCTTGTAATCTGGTGTCTGTGATTATCGCCACGTCTGACTTCTCTTTCATCCACTCACTGCATCTCTTTTGTTTCTCTACACTTCCGAGTCCGTTGATGTTGAACTCGCAGAAAATGACCTTGTGGGCCTTATCCATTAATCAACAACTGGAAAGCCCCTTCGCATCCACGGGTTGTAAGGAACAGAACTGCTACCATGACAGGTGAGCCGCTGATACCGACCACCTCTCTTATTACACCGCTGGAGACTACGTTAAGACATCCTCCTGAGACACTCTTCAGGCATTGCTTCGCCGTATCACATGTTACTTTGCTGGTTTCGCAGTGTACTCCTTCTTGAAAGCCAGCATTTTCTGGGAGAACTTGCTGGCGCGCGTGGCTGAACTTTCCTTCCGCAGACCGCCCTTGTGCTTTGCAGATACAATATGCGCCGATGCCTGTTCGAAGTGAACTCCCTGCGCCTTCTCGCATACCGCCTGGACACAGACCCATTCCTCCCGCGCGCTTCCAGTGGAAGTGAGAATGATAGCAGGGTCTCGTATGATGCGCTTCAGGAGATCTGAAGCTATCAGGGACGCAGCTGCGGGGGGAGAGGAGCAGACAAACGTCAGAAAGAGGTACGGGGTAAAAAGCGTTCAGGAAAGCGGGCATCGGAGGCAGGTAGAACGTCTCTTGGCTTGTACCGTTCATCTCGTGAACCTTTTTAACAGTCATGTTCCAGTTGTTGAAGTTATCCTGTCTCGGGGCGACGTAGCGGTCGTGATAACGCGTCAAGTGCTAGCCTCCACAGAAATCACAGGTCAGTGATGGGTAATGCAGCAGGTAACGCTTTCGTGTGGTGGGGTCTTCCACAAAGGTACGCCAGTGGTACTCGTCGTCAGCGTGAGGGACAAACAGCTCGCGAATGCGATCCGTGTCCAAGCCTGATACCGGATCAAACGTCCGATGGAAGCCGAAACCACTGGCAAACACGCTCCTGCCGCGTTTAACCAGCTTTGACACCACCAGCAAACGGCGAATCAACTCCGCCGATATCTCCGCCGGTACGCCTTTGATTATAACCTCCTTCGCCGTGGGGTTCAGCACGCGTTCACGCAGGAAACGCGCATCCTCCGGGTGCTGCCAGGTGAGATCAATGAAGTCACTGTTGATGCATTCGTGGCGAATAACCTGGCTCCAGACGAAGTTAGCGTCGCGAACGTGATTGAAGGTAACCTGCAGGCGTCCATAGCGCTCTGCGGAAAGAAACATTGGCGTGAGGCCCTGGTACGTGGTGGTCAACAGCACATCCGTGGTTAACAGCTCCTTCCATTCATCCAGCATGGCGGCAACTGTTACTGCAGCACGGTTAACCTCCACCTTCCTGGCAATCGGCACCAACAAGGTTAGGGAAAAGCGTTTCAGAGCAATAATGCTGGTAAGAGATTCTGGTTCCAGGTGATCATCCGAGTCGTCGCTCAGATAGCCGTCGTCGTCGTCGACAGCAGAGGTCTCTGCCGGCTGCGCATCGTCGTCGTCTTCAGCAGTGTCTTTGACGTCAGTCTCTTCGCGCGCAGCACCATCAGCAGGTTCCTCTTCCTCGTCAGTGTTCACACGACTTGCGTCAGCATCTTGGTCAACATTCTCTGGCAGCTCCGGAAAGGCTTCAAAGGGCCCGGACCTTGTCGTTGGGACAGGACTGGTCGGAGTCTTCGCGTTATCAGCAGGCTCCTTCACAGGTATGTCAGGTACGTCCATTCCCTGAGCCTTGTCTGTGGTTTTCTTAGCCTTGTTGCCTTTGCGTCCTTGTCCCATAGTGCGATGATGATGCAGACTTGATAGCCCAAAGTTGGCTGATAAACAATCTGGTCTGAGCGCATTCACCGCCTCGCTCTTATGCTTCTTGTGTTTGAACGCAAATCACTGCAGATCCAGACCGTGTGTGGAAGCAGAGGGTCTGGCGTAACTCTCCGTGCCTTGAGAACTGCCTGCTTTGTTAGAATGTGGTTCTTGGGAAATGCTTCCATTGGGGTTAACGCGGGTTGGCGAAATCTCTGTTGTCGCTGCATAAAGATAGTGTCGACGATATCCATGGAGTAGCCTTGAGAACTGTTGTGGTCCTTGCAAAAATGACTGATGTTGAGTTGTTGGTATGATGAGCCTGAACGATAGCCTGGAACATACAGAACAGGTGTATAGGTTCCCGTTATGAACTCTTAAGGAACACCGTTGTGTAGATCTTAAAGCCGCGCATCGTTTGAGACTATCAGTGTCAACAGCAGGCAAGAAATTGATGGACATTGGCTGAGTTAAAGCTCTCCGCCATGGCCATGGCTGGGTCGGAGTGATGCGAATCATAGTCATAGTCAAATGTCTCTTCGTGCTCCACTACTGCTCACTGTTTCTCAACAACAATGTCCTTTTCGATGAACTTTCTCCTGCATGGCGACATTTGCAATGGTCGCAAACATATGTGCGCGACCCGAAGCCTGCTAACCAACCAAATCAGTCGTCCATGCGGAATTTCTGTCACCAATCCCAACTTGTTCGAACAACTCGGTTCGAACGTGCGGAATGGAGAGCTTTGTGCCCCTTGTGACAGCTCTGTTCAGATTCGCGAAATTTCCGACTAGCGACGTCACGAACACCCACACGAGAGTGGCGAAAACTGTAACATTTCGCCTGTTCGAACGAGCGTGCTGTTCGAACTGAGAGGTGAAGCGCCCGGAAGAACTTAGTTTGTCAAGATATTCACAACTAACGCAAGTTGCGTACTCGAAGTCCGTCTATATAGCCCCCTTGTTAACAGCGATCCTGCTACCGTTCCTCCGATCCTGCTCTCATACCTCCGCTCCTCCAATCGGCCTCCCGGTCCGCTGCGCCGTTACAAGGCCCACGGTGCCGTTCCGCTAGCTACCAGCAGCGCCAGCAGCAGCAGCCGCAGGAACAGCAGCGGGTGCGCAGCAGGGGCTTGGCATGGCGGCGGCAGCGGAGGACGCGTTGAAGCTGTTCGTGGGGCAGGTGCCCAAGACGTTCACCGCGGACGACCTCACGCACGTGCTCGCCGAGGCGGGCACGGTCTGTGACGTCACCATCGTCAAGGATCGTGTCACTAAAGAGTCGCGCGGTGAGTCGTGCTGCCGCGGGTCGCGCGGCTCGCAGATCTTAAGCCGGGTAATCGTCGCGTTCCGTCTCAGCATCTGCCGTGTTCGTCGCTAGGGTTTCACGGAGTCGCGATCGTCGATTCTTTCGCATACCGAACGTATCCGCTCGCCATGCCATCTCGTATCCCGCCGTTTGTCCCTCGCGCACACCCCTCCCCCTTCCCATTAACACCCCTCCCCTTTTCTCCCTCCCCCTCCTCTCCCAAATCCCCTGGTCCCTTCCCTCCGCACTTTTCCGCCCAGGCTGCGCGTTCGTACTCTACTCGACGCGCGCGGAGGCGGACGCCGCCATCGCGCTGTTCCACAACATCCGCAAGCTGCCGGGGGTGAGTGCGTCGCGCAGCGGGGGAAGGTGGAAACGGGCCGAGGGATGCGCGCTGCCAGGGTGCAGTGGTACGTGGGTCGCTGAGGGGAGGTTTTCTCACGGCTGTTGTGCAGCAGGTGGTGCGGGCAAGGTTCGCGTGAGAAGTGCGACTGTTGAGAGACACACGCCTCCCGCCTCTCCCGCGCACATACAACCCTCCTCAACCCCCCTTCCGCAATCCCCCCTCCTCCCCCACACCCGCCCTTTCTCCTCCTCCCCCTTCCCCCTCTCCTCTCCCGTTTTCTTCCCACCGCATGCGCGCGTCTCACCGCGTCTGCCTTACCCGTGGTGCCGACACTGGTGATTTGTGCGCGGTGGTGGAACGGGCAGGCGAAGACGGCGATGCAAGTGAAGTACGCCGACGGCCAGGAGCACAAAATAGGTGCGCGCTCGCCGTCGCCCGTTGCGTCCGTCCGCGCCCGTGCGTCCTTTTGTACTGCCATTTCGCGCATCCACCCTCCCGCCCTTGGCACATCCGCCCGTGCGTCGACCATTTCCTCCTCCCTGTCCCTGTCGGTCACCGGCACTATCACCTCACTTGCCGGCCTGATTTACTATCTCTGGGCCGCATGTGAGCTCTTTGCGTGGATGGACTGGGTTGTGTGCATGCATGGGTGAGGGTGTGTGCATGCATGGGTGAGGGTGTGTGCATGCATGGGTGAGGGTGTGTGCATGCATGGGTGAGGGTGTGTGCATGCATGGGTGAGGGTGTGTGCATGCATGGGTGAGGGTGTGTGCATGCATGGGTGAGGGTGTGTGCGTGTGTGCACAGAGAACAAGCTATTCGTGGGCATGCTACCCAAGGCGGTGACAGCGGAGCAGCTGACAGCAGTGTTTTCGCAGTACGGCACCGTCATTGACATCAATGTGCTCAAGCCCGCTCCTCACATCACCCGAGGTGCTTATGCTGCTGCTGCTGCCGCCGCCGCCGCCGCCGCCGCTGCTGCTGCTGCTCTCCTCCTTTCCTTCTCCCCTCCTCCCCTCTGGCTTCGCTCCCTCGCCCCCTGCGCCTCTCCACTACGCCTCACCTCCCATCCCTTCCCTCCCCCTCTCTCCCCCCTGCCGTTCCACTCCCTTCCCCCCACGGGGCAGGGTCGGCGTTTGTGAAGTTCCAGTCGTATGCGCAGGCGCAGGCCGCCATTGACGCGCTCAACGGCAAGCACCGCCTCGAGGTACCCGGGGGGGGGGAGGACGGGTGGGGGGCACATGGGGACGGGACGGGGCAGGAGTGGAGGAGAAGGGAGGGCAGGTCGGGGTGGGGAGAGCGGAAGGGTTTTGAAGGGAAGGGCGGAAGAGGATGGGGGAGTTTGGGGGGGAAGCATGTTGCAGAATTGAGTGCCTTGTTGTAAGAGTCTTTGCATGCTCTTTCATGTCCCTTGTGTCGTCTTTACTCTCCTCTCTATTATGGCCAGCTCGTCTCGTCCCTGTCCCCCTGCCATGCTCGTTGTCTGCAAATTTTAGTATGCCTCCTCTTCGAGCCTTCCAACGTCTTCCCCCCGCCCACGGCCCCCTCCCCCACCAATCTCTTTCTCCCCCTCTCATCTTTCCTCCACGGGCTCATCTCCCTGCGTCTAACTTTCGCTCTTGTCTTCTACCCCCCCCGTCCCGCTCCCCCCTTCCCCCCCTTCTCTGTGAACCTGTGTTGTCTTTTCCCCTCCTTTCCCGTCCCCCCCACGTGCACTCTTCCCTGCGAGCAACAGGAGGGGGGGGGTGCCAATGGCGGTGAAGTGGGCGGACACTGACAAGGAGAAGATGGCGCGCAAGGCACACCGCATGGGCCCGCCCGCACCCGCTGCTGCTGCGCTGGGCATGGGCCCGTCGCCCCCCGGGCTCTACTCCTCGCCCCTCATGGGGTCCGCGCCTGGCGCTGCCTTCTTCCTGCCGCCCACCTCTGCGCCGTCTCTGTACGGCTCTCCCATGCAGCCCCAGCTGCAGGTGGGCTCCCGCTCTCTGTCACACTCACACACGCACGCGTGCGCACACACGCACACTCACTCACTCTCCATGGCTGGCTGGCGTCTTCCTTCCACCCTCAAAGTTCCAACCGCCCCCTCTCCTAATCTCCCATTCCAGTTGACCTTGCTGCTCTCCCTCGCTCTCTTTCGTTCCCATACGCCCTGCTTACGCTTTTCCGCGTGCCCTGCTTGCGTAGTCACAGCTTCTGGTCTCATTCTTTTCCGCCATGCTGCGTGCATCCCATCGTGTGTTGCACATCCGTGTATGTGTCTCTGTGTGATTCTACACGACCGCAACCCAACACCAACAGCAGTACGGAGGCATGGACTTGGCATCACTGTACCAGTCACAACCACCCGCCATGCCGCAACCGCAGCCACACGACATGTATGCCATGCCGCCACCTGCTACCCAACACTACCACACGGATGGCGCAGCAGCAGCACTGGCAGGTGGAGGAGGAGGAGGAGGAGGAGGCGGAGGGGGCATTGGGGGGCCAGTGGGGGGCTATCAGCTGGGTGCGGTGCCTTCAGCGACGGCCGTGGCGGCTGCTGTGAGGCAGGCGCTGGCTCAGAAGGAAGGTGCGTGGGGGTTGCCTTCTGCCCTGCTTCATGCCCTGCCATTCCATTCACTGCGCAACTCCAGCATTTCATGCGTGCACTCACTCCCTCACCCACTCCCTTCTCCAACCCCTCTCCACCCTCTCTCCAACCCCTCTCCAACCCCTCTCCACCCTCTCTCCAACCCCTCTCCACCCATCCCATTTGCGCCCTTGTGTCTCTGTGCCATTGCCATCTATTCTGCTCCCGTCTCTGCCTGTCCTGCACGCGTGAGAGAGTGTGTGTGTGTGCGACAGGTCCTCCCGGAGCCAACATATTTGTGTACAACATCCCTCCGGAGTGGCGGGACCACGACCTCACCACGGCGTTTGTGGAGTTTGGCAACGTGCTGTCGGCGCGTGTCTTCATCGACAAGAACACGGGCCTCAGCAAGAACTTTGGTGCGCTCCCTGCACGCCACCACAGCACACGGCACCGTGGAATCGCACGGCACAGCACGGCACAGCACGGCACAGCACGGCACAGCACGGCACGGCACGGCACGGCACGGCACGGCACGGCACGGCACGGCACGGCACGGCACGGCACGGCACGGCACGGCATGGCACGGCACGGCACGGCACGGCACGGCACGGCATGGCACGGCACTGTATCACGGCACTGCACTGCACCTCACTGCTCTGACCTGCACTGCACTGTGCTGCACTGCACTGGACACACTGCAGCAGTGTGTGATTCTTCTCCTCCACTTCCATTCTCGAACCTCTTCCCCTCTTGTACACTTACTTCCAAGCCTCCCTGCCTTCCTGCCCCCCGCCTCCCGCCCTCCCTCTCCCCCTCCCCCTCCCCCTCCCCCTCCCCCTCCCCCCCCCCCAGGGTTTGTGAGCTACGATGCGGCGGAGGCAGCGCAGGCGGCGATAGCGGTGATGGACGGGTTCCTGGTGGGGGGGCGCCACCTCAAGGTCTCCGTCAAGAAGGGCCAGCAGGCTTCTGCGCCCGGCCACGCCTCCGCTCCCTACTGACCGCCGCCCTGCTGCTGCGCTTGCTCTGCTGCCCTGCGCCATGGTACCATGGTGGCTTGCTTGTGACCATGCTGTCTGCTTTCTGGGGGTGGGCGAAAGGGGGCGGGGGGAGGGTGGGTGGGAGGTTGTGGTGGGGAATGTGATGAGGTGAGGAGCCGTGCTTTGGTTGGAAGGTTCTTCTTTCAAGTTATCCCCTCTCCATCTCCATCGCTCATTTCCTGCTCTTCCCACGCTCTCCTGTGTACACACCTGTGTTATCACTGTGTGTGCTGTGTAAATGGTTCCTCGCTCTCTCTTCCCCCTCCCCTCGCCCTTTCTGTCTCTCTCATCCCGTTTCTCTCTCACCCGTGCCTTACTCTTTCTCTGTCTCGTTCCCTTCCATTCTGCTCACTCTGTGTGCTCCCGGGCTTCCTCTTTCTCTATGTGTGTGTGTGTGTGTGTACTTGTTTGTTTGTGCATGTGTGTTCGTGATTGTGTGTGTGTGTCTCAGTGCGTGTTTGGTTGCTGCCTGTCAGTGGTTGCTGCCGCAACTGTTTCTGCATCACTACTGCTGCATGCGCTCGCCCTTGCATCACCTCATGGTGTCTCCCTGTTTTAGTTCCAATACCACCACCTCCTCCTCCATTGCCTCCGACACTAAGACCGCCGCGTTTCACTCGTGGCCTCGTAGTACAGTGTTGCTTTGCTGTCGCCTCTAGTGGCGTTCTCCTGTTTTGTGCATCAACCAGTGACTGTGGTTCTGTCAGTGGCTGGATGTGAAGTTTGTCAACAACCAGTGAATGTTACAGCCACAAGTGCTTCGCGTTCTCATTCCTCACTGTTCCTGTTAGTCAACGTTTCGTCGAAATGTGGCGCAGAAGTATTAAGCCCAAACACCTGCCTGCGGTCTTGATTGTGAAGTCACTGAAAGGTTTCCAGTCTTCCTCCAATTTTCCCACCCTCCTTGCCTCCCTGCCTCGCTCTCTCTCCCTCCCTCCCTCCCTCCCTCCCTCCCTCCCTCCCTCCCTCCCTCCCTCCCTCCCTCCCTCCCTCCCTCCCTCCCTCCCTCCCTCCCTCCCTCCCTCCCTCCCTCCTTCACCGATCGTTTTCTCCCTACCTACCCTCTCTCTGTTCCACTTTTCCCACTCCTATCCTCCCCGTCTTGTCCCTCCAACACACTCCCCTTCCTCGCTATTTTCCGAACTTCCCCTCCCCTTTCCTCTTTTTCTTGTCCTTCTCACCAACTCTCCCCCATCCCTCGCCGTCCGGCTTCCCATAACCTCTCGCTCTACCTCTTGTCGCATCACATCAACACATGTCTTCTGGTACCAGACCTTACTTTCCCCAAGATCCTTCTTTGATCATTCTCTGCCCTTCTTGCATACTGTTCTGGCCTCCATTTGTAGTTCTGCCCTATGTCCCAGCTCTTTTCACATGGCCATCTTGTGTAGCACCTAACAGATTGAGCTCTCCTCTATGAGTTACCGGTATGAGTACGCTGAGCAAGTCCTATTCTGCGTGTTCTCCCCTGAGCACGATGTGATCCAGCTCCACCTAACCCCCGCCACTTTAAATCCCCCCACTTTCACCAATAAAGTGCATCCAATCCAAGGGCAACTAAGTATTCCTGACCCATCTGATGCATTGATAAACATTTCATTACTACTGTACTGTGCATGGATTTTTTCCAGAAAAGGATTGCCAATGTGTTTTGACACATGGCAGGAACGTTTATGATTCTGACTACCACACAACCTCATGGTTGGGGTGCTGCCAGATGTGGATTTAGTGAAATTGACAGTGGTTCGGCCCCTGACAGTTTCTCCTGCCGGACCTGACTGATTTCGCACTTTGATCCTGAAAACAACAAATCAAACAACCTCGTCCATAGAGTGCCTGTTTTTAAACAGTGACAAATCTTTATGCGCTTTTCATTCACATCCACATCCACGTCTCACTCTTCATCATGCAACGCAAGTAGCACCAAGCGGGTTTTCTGACTCTCATTCCGCTCTGTCCACAAGATCCTTCCTGTGGCCTTGGAAAAAGAGGTCCGCACGGTAAACGTGGGTTGCATGTTTGTGTCAATTGCACTCCATTGAGGCTGTGAGGCTTCAACCTGGCGACACAAGTTATCAGGAGGTCGAAAGTGCAATGGCATCAGGGGGTGCATCTGAAGGGCACATGGTTCTAATGGTGGGTCGCATTCTGAAATGCTTCGTTGTGGTGGTAGCTGCAAACCCAGCCTTGATGCTACCAATTGTAGGTTCCGTCCCTTCACATCCAGTGCTCCATTCTCCGCAGCTTCACCGATGGATGGTGAAGGGACCACGTCGCATCCGCCGCCACTGATATGTTTGTCGAATGCACTTGGGCTGGACAAGTACTCAGAAGAGTAATCACCATTGTCATCATCTTTAAGCGGTCCTTGCGTGCGACCTCCATTACACGTTGAGCCAACAGTTTGAAAATCATCTTCTTTATTGAGGAAAGGATGGAGCTTTTCAGACTCTGCTACGATGCTTCGGTCATTGTCGTAGCCTGCAAAGATTACTGCACATGGTTATGATATAATGTGTTTTAAGGGAGAAAACAGTGTAAGATAAGAAGCCATACCAGAATAAGATAGTGGTGCATTGGTGCTCGAGTTTGCCTCCAAAATACGAGGGCTGGATCTTCAATCAGGGCATTTAGAAAGAGGAAAAACAACTTGAAGTTGAGCAACATACAGACCTTGGTTGGTCTTCTTACTGGAATGTGTCATCTTGTAGATCTCGAAGCCATTCCAATGCATCCTCCTCCTTCATGCTTGCCTTCCAGCATCCTGTAACGTCTCTAGACCTAAACAAAGGGTAATGTCAAGCGGGTTAAAAGAACGCAATGCAACCATAGTGAATGCACTCCAACTTACCTCAGAAAACAATTCCCCCCCGAACGAGCTGTCGTAGGAAGACTGCTTGGGTTTCTATTGTCTTCTTCGTCATTACCCATCCATCCATAAAATCTTTTGGTTGATTGGTTGCACAGTTCTGGCGAGTCCAGAAAGAGTGACTGCTTTGACGGCTTCTGGACTTCCACTGGGGACAAGTTATTCCATGGTTCGGAAAATCCCATTGGGGAATCGTTCCATGGCTTTTCCTGTGATTCTACGCCATAAGTTTGTACGTGAACTTTAAAGTCCTCAAAGAATGGAGACTTAGGGGAACGCTGGTTCACCCCTATCGCTTGTGTATCTCCTGGAGATGGAGAACAGCACTTCTCTCTCAGCTCAGTTTGCGTATTGCCAAGTGGAAACTCCACTGCACAGGGATGTGAACATCATTAGAATCCTAGGTCATGAGAACAAAAAGACTATGAGAAGGGACCTGCCTTTTTCTTCGAGCATTCTGTACTTTGGCGAAGGCAAGGATTGATCCCATTCGTTGTGCTGTGTTGCATAATCGAACACAATTTCCTGCTCACAGAGAACCAAGGTCAGTGCTGCTCACTAAACATGCTGCTCGATTATTGTTGATGTTACCTCCTCATGTCCCACGTCATTCTTCAGCTTCACTGGCGTTGACTTCAATTCAAAAAAGCGCCTGATCACATGTTCAGCGTTGTTCAGCAGGCAGCTAGCAACTTACCGAGCTTCCCGGAACCTTTTTCTATTGCGTTAATACCTTGGTGGAGTATGGTTTCGTGGGGATTGTGGAGGCGTCCTCCCATCTAGCGCTCCGGCACCATCCATTGTGAATGAAACATATGGTTCTGATGGGAGCTCATGACCAACCTTCGACTTATCTTGTGCTTCCAGGAGCTTCACAAGGGAAAAACCGCCTTCAAACACCAGCCATTGGTTTCAGAGAAAGTTCGAACATCATGAACGGAATCAGAATAGAACTTGAAGCAAACCTGGAAGGAGGCTGTGCTCGCGAGAAGGGCGTGGTGAATCATTCGGACATTCCTTTGGCCGTAGTCGAAGCTTCTCGGGTGACGCAAGTTCAGTGTGATCCAGTCTTCTTTCGCGTGGCCGAGCAGGTTCCAGACGTGAAAGAGTTGACACCGGTTGATTGCGTTTTTCGCAAATGTTGGACGGATCATCTTTTTCAATTTGAAAAGGGTTATGATTCGGCTCGTCATCGCCTTCACGAGCACTGGAAAATGTGGTTTGAGAATGAACCATGTATACAAGCAAAAGCGTCTTCTTCCGTGCTTACCGGTTAGTTCGACCTGTTTAAAAGAGACGAGAAAAGGAAACGAAAACCAGCGTTTGAAAAGAGCCTCTGAGAACAAATTTAAAACAGTCCTTCTCTAGAATGTTGTACAATTACCTTGGGGAGAATCAGGACACTCTTGCGGAGAGTTTCCAATATAAGCAAGCGCTTGCAGACTGATAATGTCGAGAGACATTCCTGGAATCTCGGGAGGACGAGAAAGTGGTTGCCTTCCTTCAAATGATTGCTGACGCTGATGCTCAAAGAACTGTCGTTGTCTGCAAAGGAAATGAACGATTAGCATGCGAGGCATGCGGTCCAACGACGCTACCATGGAGACATGGATTACCTCTTAATCTGAACCTGACGAGATTTCTGCACATACAAAGAGCAGGTTAAATGGAATACGGATAAGAAACAGGAAATCCCGATGGTCTTCTTTACCTCCTTCACCTTCCGCCGCAACCCCCCCGTCCATTGAAGCATGATGAGGTGAAGTAGTTACGAGTCAATAACTTGAATGGCTGCTTGCTTGTCAGTTGGTGAAAGCTGAATGGGTGCTACGGGAGGAATGTTAGAATGTTAGAAGAATGTTACATATAGATCGTAATCCATTACAAGACTAACAAAGCGAAAAGAGAATGGCTAAGCTAGCCAACCTCCAAGGAAGGATGTGCGAAGAAGAACGGGAGGAATGTGATGCCAGATTGGCCAACGCGACTTGGTGCAAATCGATTTTGGGAAGAGGACCGAAAAGGGCCCAAAAGGAGCAAGGTGTAGAGGTGGCGTACAAATACACCCACATCACAAACTACTGTACTTCAT